GCAGGGAGCCTGATGTGGGGCTCGATCCCAGGACCCCGGGATCATGACCTGAGCCGAAGGCAGACGCTTAACGACTGAGCCACCCAGGTGCCCCCATAGTGGGAAATTTTAATTTGCTTTCTCTTGCAGTTGACTGATAAAGACAGCAAAACAATGAAGATATAAAAGATATAAGCACAATTAGCAAGGGTGATGTAATGAAGATATTAGAACACAAAAACTGCAAAATACAGCTTATTTTTTCAAACACACAAAGAATATATATGAAAAATGACATTCCTGATCCTAAAAGTCTCAACAAATTTCAAATGATTCAAATACAATGTTCTCCGACCACAAGCTTTAGATCAGTAACAAAAAGACAGCTAGACAAATCCTCTATTTGGAAATTAAGGAATATTTCTAAAAAACTCATGGTTGAAAGATAAAAGAATAATGGAATTGGAAAATATTCAGAACTGAAGGATAACAGAAATACTACCTACAAAACCTGTGGGAATGTAGCCAAAATAGTCCTCAGAGGGAAATTTGTAGCCTTAGATGCTTAAATAATATTGAAAAATAATGAATTAAGCATCAAAGTTAGGATGCTAAAAAAGGAGTATAAACCCAGAACATACCCAAATATAATAGAAGGAAAGAAACTGATGAAATAGAAAATAAACATATCAAAAGAAATATTAACAAAACTAAAATCGGTTCTTTGCAAAGAATTAAAAATGTGAAACCTCTGGCAATGTTGATAAAAAAGAGATACAAAATTAGAAATAAAAGAGGGAATAAAATATATATAGTGAGAGATAGTATACACAACTTTATGGCCAATAAATTTGAAAACTTACTAAAATGGACTCAAGAAAAAAATAAGATAATCTAATAGTCTTTTAGTCATTAAAAGTATTAAATCTATAGTTTGAAATCTTCCAACAAAGGAACACCAAATCCAGATAGTTCTGCTGAAAAGTTCCACCAAATTTCTGAGGTAAAAGTTATTCCAACCTCTACTATTAACTCCATAGGATAGAAAGAGAAGATACACTGGCCAAATCATTTTTTGAGGCTAACAATGTCTTCTTGAAAAAAATCTGGCAAGGGTAATACGTAAGATGAAAAAAAAAAAAAGGCCAATCTCACTAACAAAATGGAAGCAAATTACTAAACAAAATATTAGCAAATCAAATATAGACATTTATAACACTTAGATGTTTATTTAAGCTTCTAATACTAAATTACCAAGTTGGGTTTATCCCAGGAATGAAAGGTTGGTTTAACATTAGAAAAATCTACCGATGTAATTCACCACACTAAGAAAATTAAGGAGCAAATCATGATTATATCAATAGATATAGAAAGGTGCTTGATAAAACGCTACATTTATTCACAATAAAAGCACTTAGAAAACTAGAGTCAGAAGGGAGCCATAAATTAAAAAAAAACTTCAGCAAACATCATACTTAATGATAAAAACATTCTATTTAACATCAAACAATGACAAGTGTGCCCACCATCATCACAATAATTGACATTATACTGGAGGGTCTAGCCAGAACGTTAGGGCAAGAAAAAGAATAAAGAGAAGGTATAAGGATTGGAAAGGAAGAAATAAAACCATCATCCTTTGTCCTTTCTAGAAACCCCAAGTAATTCATAGATAAATCATTACAAGAATTGCCATATTAAAAAACCAAAGAATAAAAATTAACTGCATCTCTAAATACTAGCAAGAACTTGGGAGAAAATGAAATTTTAAAAGATATGATTTATAATAGTAACAATAAATATAAGATATCTAGAAGTACATATATTAAGAAACAAACAAGATCTATAATGGAAAAAAATTACACAAGTTTACTGACAGCCCTAAGGAAATAGATATACCATACTCATGGATGGGAAGACTCAGTATAATAAAGATATCAGTTCTTCTCCAACTGATCTGTTGTTTTGGTATAATTAAAGATTCTAACGGGTTGTTTTGTGGATCTTGGCAAGATACTTGTAAATGAGAGAACAAAGGGCATTGCATAGAAAAAAACTAAATGTGAAATAAACATGTGAAGAGATGTATATAGCAGGGCAAACTACACACACCAACAGACAAATCTTAGGGATATAATTTTGAGTGAAGTTGATTAAGAATATATATGACATGAGTATGTTTCTATGAGGCTCAAATGCTGGCTTACTAAATAATATATTTTTAAGGATACACATTTGTATGCAGACTATAAAGAAAAGCAGAGGAACAATAAGTACATAGTCAAGGTACCTGAGGGATAGGGAATGGAATGGGGTTGGTGAGGGACACGCATCACTAAGGTAACTGTATTTTTTTTTTTTCTTAAGTTGGGAGATGACTAAGCAATTGTTTGTTGTACTGATGTTCTTTATATTTTACTGTTTTACAAATATGCTTTTTAACTACTTGATACTTAATAAAAAAACAATTTTTAAGAATTTCCTGCAGAGAATCTACCACAACCAAGTTCTGGGTTTGAAACCCCTTGGAGACTAACTGTTCCCAAGCCAGACCTGCCCACAGGATTCTCCCCATCCACCCCAGGAGCCTTACCTTGGCAGGGTTGAGTGCTGTGATGATCCACACACAGTGTGCATTGTTGTCATACTGAATAGGGAAATTGGGGGAGGTAATGATGCCCGAGGGGCCTCGAAGGTGGGCATCACACATGCGGGCTGCAGAGAGGAGATGAAAGGCAAGCATCTTAGTTTAGACTAGATCCAGTTCCCATCCCCCCTCCTACTTCCAGCCAGAAGAGCCTGGAGTCTGTATAGTCCCACCCCAGATATAACCTGCTTCCTATTTCCCTCCCCAGTTCTCCGCAGGCTCAAAGGAAAGTCACAGTTCTGGGAACACTGGTGGAGGGGCAGGCCTGCAAGTCCTCACCTGCTGCTCTGTAGGCAATGATGAACTTCTGTGGTCAGGCTAAGCAAGCCTCCCTATCCTGACTCCACTGTGATTGAGCAGCTCATCTCCCCCAGGATGGTGTAGGCTAGTACTACTCATGCTGACCTAAAGCCAGGTAGGCCCCAGGCACCTATGGAAGTGCTGAGCTGCTCGCCCCTTGCTCTGCTGACCTGTGTTTCCCCATTTGCTCTCAGCCTCTTGAAGTAGAATCTCAGGATGTCCTTGTCAAAGCCACCCCATGCGGTCCGAGAATGTCTGCACCCAAGGACTCTGCCAAGGCCCCCAGCTCAGCCCAGTGCCATGTACCCGGAGTGATTTCAGGGCCAATCAAATACTTCCCAATTCCTTCCCCATGCTCAGCACATGTCTGAAATAGGCTTTTGACTGGAAGCATAAAGATTCAAGGTGAATTAGAAGAAGTGCTCTACTCAAGTAGATATAAAGTGTTATCAATCACAGCTTAATCTAATTAAGCTCTTTAAAATAGCTTCTAAACTAATTAGATTAAGTAGTGATTGATAACAGTTAAGGTACTACATTGTACCTAGGTGTTTGCCTTCTTTAAAAACGTGCTCTTTAGTTCTGGCCACATCATTCTTCAGTGTTAGCGCTCAGCTATTTTAATAAAGAGTTCTATGAGTCTGTTCTGTTGCTGCCCACATGGCAATTTATCCTAATTGTAGGCAAAGTGCCTAACAGTAAAGAAATAGTGAGCAAACTCAACAAGCTTAAATATATAAAATGAAAGTCATGTCAAACCGGGTTTCCTCCGATGGGGCAAAATATCCTAGGGCTCCTCTCCGTAGGTGGATAACAGCCACGATAAACCTTTCCTGGGAAAGCCTTCTTGGAGGGCCTGGGAAGCAGCTTCTACAGCCCCCGGACATAATTAATCTGCTCATTTCCTGCACTTGTTCCTGCACTCACTCATTCCCACATATATTGAGTGCCTGTCATGGGCCTGGCAGAATGTGGGGAGAGAAAAATATCTAGGACACACCCCTCCTCTCGAAAGGGCCACCAGTAAGCGGGGGAAGCAGGTGTGCAAACAGCCACAATCAAGCAGAGCAAGTGTCGTCAGAGGGTTATTTGTAAGAGGCTGCTGGCTCCGAATTGCTCCTTCTCTACTGGGACAGCACCCTCATCGAGGATGTTCCTTCTGGTGGCTGGCCCCGGTCTTATACCAGAAGGATCTTCTCCCTCAGGAGCTCCAATGGCAGTTGAGTCAAGTTTGAAAAAAGCCCTAGAGGAACCCTTTCCTCCATCCCCTTCACGTACAGCTCACTGTGCCTGTAATTCTGTGCTGGGAAACTCTTAGATTCACAGATTGTACTTGATACAACTGGACCATGGTGAGGAGAGCATAGGCTGTGGGGTTTACCAGCTTAGCCTTCTAGATTTGAAATCCATTTGCTGGTCAAGTTGGAAAGGCTCTCTGATTCTACTTCATCTGTAAAATGGGGCTAGTGATACCACCTCATTGAAGCATGGTGAGGATGAAATTGGATGAGATACTGGATGGGAAGACTCATTCAGGTCCTGGGACGTCATCAATATTCCACAAAGGGGACTATGGGACTCCCAAAGCCATGTTCATTCATTTCTAAAGGCCAAAAATCTTTTTCCTACCTTCCTTGATTTCTTCACTTAGGAATTTTTCCCATGGCTGAGAACATTAGTACACAAATTAGAAAAAGACCATCAAAACCAAAACCATGATCCCGCCCTACCTTTGCAAGGGGGACTTGTGGATTCAGAACCCTAGCCCTATAGGTAATTCCTACAAATCTCCACCAGCACCATTTATATCTCTTCTGCAAAGTCAGGTTTTGCTGCCTTAAAAGCCCTCACCTTCAGACTCAATTTATCCTGCACTTGTTTCTGAAAATTAGATGGTATTTGCATTCTGTTAATATATGCCGAAGGTCATTAGAGAGAACAGGTCAAAAAGGCATTTACCACTTTAAGGGCTTAAATAATATATTACAATGTGCAGACAGCTAACATGGGAGCACCTTAAAATAGGTTCAGACTGGAGCACCAGCTTTTTCCCTCCGCTGTCTGGGTAGGGTCAGGGGGAGGGGGTCTGTGGACAGACATCCCCCCGAACAGACAGCCCCGGGGATCCCACCACAGGATGGTTAGCTCATCAATGCCACCCACACAGGCTGGCAAAATGGGAGGTGCTCAGACAACATCTGAATAAATGAATAAACACATGTTGCTGTTTCTCTATTTGCCTTTTCCCATCAAATATTCTTCTGGATAACTTCCAGAAGTGACTTCTCCAGCACCTTTTGTGCCTAAGCTCTGCAGACAGCAACCCAGGGGACCTTTGGGAGACACCACTGGGACCCACAGCCAATCCTGGTGTTCTCCCTTCTCCCCAAATCTTATTCCCATCTTCTTCCATGCTGCCTTCCCTTGCCTCTCCTGCTCCTGACCTCCCTCCTTGCCCTTTTCCTAGGCCTCTCAAACCATGTCCCCACCACCAATTCTAATACAAACAAACCTCAACTTGTAGCTACATCTTTCAAAACCTCCCACTCCAACTCCTGCCTTGACTGAAGTCTGGCTCCTTCTCCCCAGGCCAGTGCTTTCCCTGCTGTCCTCTGCAGTGGAGAGTTTTCTCCCGCCCCCCAGTATCTCCTTCCACAAATGTTAGCTGACCCCACAGAGGTACTCTCCATTGATCTTCATTGAGATCTCACCCCATTGACACCAATGTTGTCTCTTTAGCCCTAAGTTCCCTATCCTCTCTTCCATCCTTATCCAACTCAGATCCCATGGTCTACCATTATGATCATTTTCTTACAAATCCACCCAAGTCTCTTGCTCCTTTTATCAGCTTGGATGACAGCAATCACGGATGAACCCCTCAACCTACATTCTCCAGGCCTGCCCTCATAGAGTCAAGCTTTGCTAGAGATAAGTCACATGAGTAGGAAGAGTGACACCACTATAAATTCATGATTACCCACCTCAAAGAATCCTAGATATTGCCCAGTGACTCTGCCATTCAGCTCTATGCTCTGCTCAAAGACAGATGCCCTCTCCATGTCCCCAGACCTCTCACCCTTCCCCTGGTCTCTCCTCACTCTCAGTTGATGACCTTGCTTCAGTCCCTGTGGATGAAACAGAGGACATCTGGTGGGCACACCCTCTCTCCCATATCCCAAATCTGCATTCTTATCTGCTTATGTGCTCATCTACTTCTTCCCTTCTGGTTCCAACAGAGAGATGGCTCCTTCACCTTTCAGAGGCCAGCCCTCCTCATGAGATCTGGTACCCTTGCCCAAGGTCAACCATGTCTATGAGCATAGCCAGGGCCTGCTGTTCTGGTGGATTCTCATAAGTCCACCTATGAGATCTTAAACTCCATCATCCCATTCTTTGCCCTGCTGCTTCTGTACCCAGCAGAGTGACTTGGTTTCAGTGGACCTGCTGTCCAAAATATAGGCCCCTCCAGCCCTCTGGCTCCCTCATTTCTCCCTGCCTATCGACCTCTACCTGGCTCTTCCCCTTCACTACCCAGTCTGGACTTCAAGACCTTTACCAATACCCTTATGCCCTCAACAGTCTTATATCTGTCATTGATGAAGTCTACCACCTAGCTTCATGGTTTCCATAGTAATTGAAGCTTCAGCTCAGGTCAGCCCTCTCCCTTGTCTTTGTTCAGTTTCCTTGACAATTTCTTACAGAGGCAACTTCAAACATTTGCCATTCAGTTGAGCCACTTAACCCCAGTGGTTGCTTTCTGCTCTCTGCTGCACTTGACCTCTCTGGAGGATCTGATTCTACTGAACCTTCTCTCTTTGTGAAATTCACATTCTTTGGCTTTCATGGTGCCTCTTGGCTCTTCTCCTACTTCTCTGACTGATCCTTTTCAGCTTCCTTCTTGTTCGTTAAGTCCTCAAAATTAGTTGTTTAAATCTGGGTAAAGAGTGTATTGTTCTTTGTACGCTTCCTTTAAATTGTCTTTGAGTTTACAATTAAATCAAAATAAAAGTTAACCAAAAAGTAGGGAAAAGGGTATTGTTTTATGTGCTTCCATCCAGAATATTGACTCTAAAGGATGTCCAGGTGCCATTTTCAAGTAGAATAGTGCCTTTGGAGTCAGGGTTTGAATCCCAGATCAACCCATTAGCTTTGTGCCCTTGGGCAAGAAGGCTGACCACTCCAAGCTTGAGCCAAACATAAAATGTGGATATTGCCACTTACCTTATAAAGAAATTATGGAAAATGTATACTGCAATGCTTTATCAAATACAAATAGTGTAACAACTGGGAGCTTTATCATTAGTACAAATATATAGGTATGAGTCTCAGGGAACAATGGGGCACGCTGTCAGTACATTACCTACGGGGAATAACTACAAAGGAGGGGAGAGGAAGGTTGGGGTAGGAGTGGGCAGAGTGGAGAGAGAGGGGAGGAGGGGATGAAAACAGAACTCTGAACAACATTAGTGTTTAAGGAGTGGGCCTGGGAAGCTGATCCAGTGATGGCCACCAAGAAGGAAGACAGCCACCTGTAACTGTCATGCTTTCATTCCGCTGGTTTGTGCCCTATTTCCCACATTTCACTCCCATCTTATGAGAATGAGGGAGATGATTCAGAACGTTTTGGTAATTTACCCTGTGCCATATGGTATGTTAGTAGCAAGGCTGGAACTTGAACTTAGGTCTCTGAGTCCTGAGTCAGGTGTTCTATCCATAAAAAGGCTTTTGTTCTTTTTTTTTAAATTACTAAATTACTTCATTTAAATCCAATTAGTTAATATATAGTGCATCACTAGTTTCAGAGGTAGAGCTCAGTCATTCACCCATTGCATATAACACCCAGTGCTCATTACATCATGTACCCTCCTTAATGCCCGTCACCCAGTTACCCATCCCCCCACCCACCTCCCCTCCAACAAAACAGAGGATCATAGGGGAAGGGAGGGAAAAAGGCTTTTATTCTTTAGAGATATACAAGTATATATAGATATATGTGTGTGAGTGTGTGTGTTTATGCATGTGTATTTGTACAGCAAATAGGGGATTTCTCCACAAAGGAGAAGAATAGTATGGTTTTCTGTTGAGTATCTACTTTATGGCTCAGTAACTGTATCTCATCTGGGGCTGATACTCAGTTCCTATTCTCTGTCAACACCAATTTGCGGGCACCATAAACCAGGCCTCCAGGTCTCCTGGTTGTCAATTTGGTCCTATCCACTATCAGTGGTTTAGTGTTTAGTGTTCCCTGGAGCCTCAGGGTTCTTTGGAGGTAGCTTGGGGGCTGCTGAGAGGGGTGAGGGAGGGGCAACCCTAAATCTCCTGCCCCTACTTCAATGAAAGAAGCTCCATTTGTATCTGCTTTATTATTAGGCTTCTGCAAACGCTGATTTTTAAATACTGGGCTCCATCTGTAAAATAATTCTGCCAAGCTCTGTACTCTACCACCCACCTCTCTCTGGGGCTAAAGAGAATTAGTAAGTTTCATGTTTCCCTCAATCTCCTTTAGATGATCAAACTTCTCTAGGACACATGAAATTCAAAACACTTTCCCCCCCCCTTTTTTTTGGAACTTATTTCTTCGGTGGGATGGAAAGAGAAGAAAAACCTGTGAATACCTAATTTCAAATTCCAAAATGAGGGCACAGTCCCGTATTGTTCGCTCATTTCAATCACCGATCCATTCAGGTCACCCTGCAACATTTTTCGAGAACCTATTATTTGCCAGGCCCCATGTTTTAGCAGAATTAATTGCATGGAAAATGAATATTTAAAATCAAATCATATTTCAAATGCATTAGAGGAAAAATAATACCACTGTTATTAGTGGTGAATCCTTTTTAGAATGTGATCTTTTGATAACCTGCTTATTAGTAGAGCTATCCTGGAATTCAAAGAGTTTTGTCCCTTTTTATTCTTGAAGTGGGGTTCACTTAGACTTCTCTAAAAAATTACAATTACGATAGTGATTCTAACTAATTAAAAACAAGAGATTTTTAAAAGAAAAACTTTCAAAACTGCTACAATGAGAGGACCCTCGAATCTCATCTCTGTCTCAGGCCTTGGCCTTCAGGGAAGCCGGGGACAGGCCATCCAAGTCCAAACCCAGGAGGCTTTGCCTTGTCTCTTCCTCCCTCCCAATGACCTGGAGGGGTGGGGGGAACAGGAGGGGAAGAATGGCATATTCTCACCTGCGCTGAGAAGCCCCTCTCTCTCCACCACAGTTGGCGCTGGTCACCTTCCATAAAATGGCTTGTTTAAATGTCGCCAGCACCGGGGAGAGGAGGTTTTGTTTTCCTAGTTCACAAGGGAGGGACCTGTGGCTCAAAATGAGGCAGGAACCTGCCCAGGGCCAGCAAGCTAATAGGAGGCAGAGTTGTGCTCTAGGTCAAAGCCTGTGTGCCCCCCCAGCTGCTGTGATTGCGGTAAAATTGGCCAAGACAGTGAGGGAACAGGCTTCTAAAACCCTGCAGCCCCTAGATGCTAAGGAGGGGGTGCTCCCAGGCAGGGGGAGGCCGCATGCAGACGGTGCCTGACGGCACACAAGCCTCGCAGATGCTCCTGGATCATTTCTAAGTGAGCACTTTCAATACACTACCTCCTCTAGGCCTCACGGTAATGCCAAGGAGTAGTCATGTTCTATAATCGTTGCCTTTTAGCAGAAAAAAAGAGAAAAGATTCAGATAGGTGCAGGGACTGGCCCGAGGACACCCAGCTACAAAGTGGTGGGGGCTTCATTTGAATGCAGTTCTGCCTGGCTTTGTTTCCCATGATTTTCCTCCGCCACCCAGCGGCAGAGGATGAGAAGAGAACGGATGTGTAAAGCTTAGCCCAAAGCTCAGTAAACAGGGTGGCAGAGAATTTAGAGTCCAGTGTGTCAAAATCACTGGACATGACCTGAATGGGCCACATAACACATCTGGATAAGCGTGATCACTTGACTGTGAACTTCCTTCTGAAATGCCAGTCCTTCCCTACCCTGGGCATAGTCACGTAAACATCCCCCGTCCTAAGAGAAGAATCTTCTGCCAATGAAAAGGTTTTGGGAGAGATCAGATTCCACTACTGCCCAAAGGCACTGTTATTCTGGTTCCTCAAAAGGAATTTTGAAAGAACAGATTGGCCTAGGGTCCTTTTGGTCCTCAGACATGATTAATTCTATGCCTCTCTACACAGCTGGTTTCTTGGCTCCCTGGAAGTGGAATGTTTGCTATCTTATTATTCATTCATTCAATCACACATTCAACATCTGTTATCGAACACCTACTATCTGCCAGGCCCCATTCTAGGCATTCTTGCCCTATTGAGCTGATATTCTAGCGTGAGGATATTTGTTTTCTTGTCAAGCTTTTTCTGATTCATTAGATGTTTCCATATCCACAACTCCCACATTAACACAAGATGGGTAGGGTAGGTACCATTATCTACATGGTTAAGAAAACAAGGCCAGGGAAAACGGATGATTTGCCAAACTGCCCATGGCTAGCTGGTGGCAAAGCTGGGAGTTATACCTAAGACTCTGTCTTTTGTTTGATTTTTAAAAAATATTAGCTAAGTGGAATCTTTGAAATAATATCACTAAGATCAGTGGGAACACAAAGTACATTAATTGTGGGTCATGGCCACCTCGAAGCTGAGTGAGAATGAATACGTCTGAAGCTTCTTTCAAAGGTATTTTCATGACCTTCTTCCAAGATTACTCAACAACACATTAAAAAAAAAAAAAGGGAGTGGGTTTCAGCTCCAACTCTGTCCCTTCCTTACTGTAATCATCATCTAAGTTCTTTCTCCTGGACCCCTTTCTGTGCATCAGTTTCATTTTAGTATATAAGCCTGGAGAGAGGCAAAGCACCTCCTTCTTAAACTGGGAAGGATTCAGAATGTAACTTTATGGCAGGCAATGTACCTTCTCTTCCAAAGAGGCACTCAAGAGAGCAACCGTTGGCTTTGTTCACAAACTCCAGAGAGACTGCTCAGTCTTGCACCAATTGCTGAGCTCTGGTCATGTGCATAAACAGTAGAAGAGAGATGCACACAGGGCAGGAGAAATGAAAAGCCAGCTACCGTTGCCCTGGGGGTTGAGGCCAGGGGCTTCTCTACCATAGAGGCAGCTGCTGTCCTGTCTCAGGGAAGGAAAACATTCAGGTCTACTATTTTAAGATGTGGGGGACGGGGGCCCTGGCAGCCCAGCCTCAGGCCATGCATGTGATGGCTGGGAATGTGGGTGGCGGGGCCTTTGAAAACAAGATGCGCCAGGTGTGGGGTTAGAAGATTCCTACAGAGAAGCCTTCTGATATCAATGGTCCACGTGACTCCTGCCTAGCTAAGAGCATTCTTCTAGAGGTGACAGGTCTGTGGATTGCTGAGCACATGGAAAGAAACAAAGGCATTGAGACAGAGGGTTTGGGGTGTATATGTGTTATACTGGAGGGAGTCAAGGTAACATTCAAGCTGACTTCCCTTCCACTTGAGGTGTAGTTGTGATGTCTTTGTGCAGTGAGCTAGCAACCTGCTTCCTATGTGCCTCCCCCACCTGACCGTAAGGTCCATGCCGGGCAGGGGCCGTGTCTGTCATCCCCACCTTTGTATCTCCTGATCCTAGCATAGGCCTTGATACAGAGATGGTGCTAACTAAATATAATAAGTTAATCAGTCAATGAATGCAGAACCCAAGGCCTGGAGCACAGCGAGAGTGAGGCAAGCCAGTCTGGATGCAAGTGTGTACCCTCAGGGACCAGGAGCTGGGCTCCATCCTCCCTGCCCAGCCTGGGCATGTTCTCCAACATTCCATATTGCCTTGTTAAAGGCCAGCCTCCCTTTCCCGGGGCACCCTCACCTCTGCAGACCGGCCTGTGGTCGCTCCAGGCCGCAAACATGTCGCTCACTTTCATACAGGTGATCCGCTTGGACCCTTGCAGGTCATAGCCCTCGCTGCAGGTGAACTGGACGCTGGATCCTAACCTGGGAGACAAGGCGTGTCTGTGAGCTCAGCCCTGGGCCCACCAGGCCCGCCCAAGTCCTTCCCTGCTCCACAAACAAGTACCACACCAAACATTATTTCTCCTCTGTCCCTTCATCTCTACTCCACTGTTTTATCACTTAAAATCTCCACTGAAAGGAAGATTCATCTTTTTTTTTTTTGGACCATTTAATGGTCTTAGGATTGAGTTAAAAGGTCACTTTGTGAGCAAAACCACCATGCTCTGAGATGTTAGGACAGCTAAGAGTGGGTAGATGATACCCATAAATTTTAATGAAAATGGAGGATTCTGGGAAGATACTTTGATTATTAGAAACTCTACAAGATGTACCATCTTGGGGCCCTAGGATCTCCAGATGAGGGGAGACATAAGCTGCCTGCTGGCACGTCATTACTGGTGAGGGCAGTTCCTGTACCCCAGGGACAGGTGTGCTGTGTATCCCTGGCCATCTGCAGCTCTCTTCTTCCCCTGAAGCCTACAGGCACCAGTTCCAGGACTGGCCCAGGAAAGAATGCCAGACGCCACAGTTCTTCTCCAGAAAGTGTCTATTCCTCAATCCACACTGTCCTCTGCATTATACCTCTAGGAAGGCCAGCCCCTGTCTTCCCCCCAACCAGGCCATCCACCCTTCTTTGCAATTAGAAAGTTCCCGAATGGGTCTTACCTGAAATCCGAGCCTAGTCTTTTGCCCCTTTCAGGTATGCCAGGGTCTGGACACATATTATGCCCTTGGGACACACCAACCTGAGTTACTACAAGGCAAAAAACAGCACATACAGAGATGGGTAATCACAGGAAGGCATGTCCGGGGCAGTGGCTCAGGGTGGGGGGTGGATACAGAGACAGAATGAGGCCCTGCTCCGCGGGGCTGTGTGGGGTTGTGGGGTCTCCTGGCTCAGGTTTCATGAGTACGCAAGGTGGAGAGCTGCTTTTGACAAATTCCTTTGTGAGCAAAGTCCAAGTGAAATTCATCAAGAGCATAGGGGCTCAGAGGCAGACACCCCAAACCAGCAACTACTCTGTTCCTTTGTCCCACGCCAGTGGCCAGAGGTGGACGGTCCTCAGCCCCCAGTGACTCCTCACCCTGCGCTTTGGATCCGGGGGTGGCAACTCTAGATGAGATGATCACCCCCAACCTCAGCCCCAAATGGAGAAATGACTCAAAGGAAGTTAAATAAAAGGTGGATATGTGATCAGGAACAGTAACGAATGTAAGAGAAAGCTGCAGCCTGAAGCTCAAAGCAGAGCCTTTAGCTCAAATGTGGTTATTTCTGCCAAGAAACCTCTCCCCATCGGACGCTTCTCAAGCTGAGTAAGCAGTAAGCAGAGCATCCCCTGTCCAATGCCACCGGCCAAGGGCACCACGCAGAGATGGCACCCGTGGTGGTTCTGGCAGGTGGTGGGATGCTCTCACACTTGCCAACACCAGAGTGCTGTTTATACAACCGTGTGCATGGTCCTCTCTGCCAAAGGAGAAGCCTGGTCAGGGGGTGGCGGATACACACAATTTTCTCCTGTCTCCAGTGGAGAGGGTAGAAACTCCCTGGACCCTGCTGGTTTATTGTTCTCAAGATGCTCATACTCATGAGGCTGGAGCTCTCTCACATCCCTGGATTCCCGGCTTTTGGTATCACTGGGAGCTGGGGCCTAGCATACAGCTCCATTCAAGGCCTCGCCCATCCCATGGTCCCAACAGCACTCTCAAGACAGAGATGACAGGGAGCGTGGAGCAATATTCCGAGTTGGCCCATGTCCCTCCCACCCACTCAGTGTCCCACAATATGAGAAACGGCTCCATTCCTCATTCAGTCACCCACTAATTCCCATACATTGGTACGCAGCAAGCATTCAGTGAGCACCTGGTGTGTACAAGACCCTATTTTTGATACCATGGGAGATGCAACTGTCAGATTTCGGATATGACCACTGTCCTCCGGGAGCTCCCAGTCAAGCGAAGATATGAAACAGAAACAAACTGCAGAACCACAATGGGGAAGTGATGAAGACGCAGCTACAGGGAGGCTGAGAGGGAAGACCTGTCTTATGTTGCTGAGAGAAGCATGGAAGGCTACCTGGAGGAGGTGGCATTTAACATGAGTAGTCTGAGATAGTAGGATTTGAACACATGGTGACAGAGGAACGGCAGTTCAGGGAGACAGAGGAACACAGGGGGGTGGAGTGAAGACATGGAAACAGAACTGGGGGTTGCCCAGTGTGGCCAGAATAGAAGAGAGGGTACCAGTGACATGGAAGAGCGGAAGGTGAAGCTGTGGAGGTCAGACCTTTAAGGGGTTCAAGTCTGATCCTGAAAATGGTGGGGAGCCACTGAAGAGTCCTGACGGCGGGGGAAGGGCACAGTAAGATGCTCAGGGGGAGGCTGGTGCCTTTGACACCAGTTGGGAAGTTTTAAGATTGTCCAGGCAAAGGACAAGAGCCTGGCAGTGGGGACGGACATGAGGGTGTAGGAATGGACGTGGCAAAGAAAGAGTCCCCAGGGCTCCTGGAAGACTAAAGTGTGGGGAGAGGGAGCAAGGGCGTGCCTCACCCAGGGACCTGTGGAGTCCCATCTCAGACTCACGGAGCCTGGAGTTCATTTCTACAGTTAGAAGACTGGTGTAGACCCCGTTCAAACCTCCAGGTACCCCAGGGGGTGGCTGGCCAAGGGAACCTGGGGATCTGGACAGACGCCACACAAGCCACACGCCTGGGATCTTCTTGGTTGTGCGGCATTGAGCTCAAGGCCTCTCGGGAGCCTCTTCTTCTCCAACATTCCATATTGCCTTGTTAAAGCCAGTCACTCCCGCCAGGCATTTCCCCTACTCCCATCCCCTTCCCCACTAAGCCTCTCCTTCCAATGCTTCCACATCCTAAACTCAGCAATGTCACTGTTCCTGCCAGTGCAGGACACTCCAGGCAGGTATAATGAGCCGGAAGTCCTGCTTCCTGGAGCCTCCGTGTTCCACAAGCAATGGGAACAAAGGAGGTGACAGGGTGGGGATAGAAAGGCAAGGGGAGGCTCTGTTCTAAAAAGATGAGGATGTCAGTCTTGAGCTGTACTTGTGCTTTATCTTTGGTAAGCCAGCCTCACCACGATCCATCGCTACTGAGGACTCATCAGCTAAGCGCTCACCTTCCTCTGGCCTGGCCTACTCACCCCTGCCCACGGACCACACCCCTCCCACAGTCCCCCGCGCCCACCACATGGGAACCATGCTGCCCCTGGTAGCACGTTAACATGATACAGCACTTTCCTGCCCTCTCGCTTGGTACTCACACCACCCAGGGAGCACGCAGAGCTAGAGGCTGCGGGATGAGGATGCGGCTGGACCAGAGAGGAGAGGCCACGGCAGAGCCCACCTACCCAACCCCAGCCCCGCACATGCGCAGCCAACCCTGCCACCCCCCTTTCATCAGCCCGCTGGAAGTAAGGCTCAGGCACCATCCTGGAAGTCACCATCCCAGGGGTCAGTACTCATAGCCCCCCAGGACCCTGTCTTCCTGGGAGGCCTGAGCGCACGGACATCCAGGCTCCCCAGGAAATAAGCAAAGATAAGTCCCAGTGAACACTTTATGTCTGAATGACGGAGTCAAGAGGGCTTTCCCCTCTCTTTCCTTAATCCCAGCCTCTCCTGCCTATTCAAAACCAGCTGCTTATGTTTGTAGCATTGATTCATTGTTGGCTGCAGAGAAGGAAAGGGAGAGTGGGCCTTACCCCAAGAAGCCGCAACACACTCAGAAAGGCAGTGCCTTCCACCCAAAGTGAAGGAGATATGGACACGTGGGCAGTCAGGACTGATGGCCAGGGGTCGGTGGTACCCACGGACCACCCAGTGAAGGCAGTAAGTAGGGTTCGGGATAGGTCAGCGGGGTCCATTCCTCTCCTGAAGTTCAGGACATCTGTCCACAGGGAGTGTGGGCAGGCCACCAAGGGCCAGACACCTGCAGAGATTTGGTGGCCTGCCTCCCCAGCAGCTGAGCTGCGCGCCCATCCTTCTCTGAGGAAATCTCAGAGGGAAGACCAGTGTCTTGTAGTAGAGAGGTGTGTATCTTTTTCAGAGTTTCTGCATTATTTCATGAGAATAAGGTTTCTTCATCTTTCTGAGGGAGTTTCAGGCACCTCTGAGTAGCTAATGAAAAACACGCCCCTCTCCCAAACGCACCCACAATATCACATGTAGTTTTTAGCCAGTTCACGGACCTCCTTAAGTCCTAGATCAGGAAGGCCCATCTTAGATCCAACAGCACCCTTGGGAAGAAGGGAGGGTAAGGTGTTGCATCCCATTTCACAGGTTTGGAAACTGAGACACCAGTGCCTGGAGTAACACAGTCACCTGAAAACACACTTGCTCTCCCAAATCTGGGCCATTTCCTCGGAGTCCTGCGGCTCCAGGGCAAACTCTGAAGTGAAATCATGCCGACCTCAGTTCTCTCCTCTCCTGTGGCTCCAGAAAGAATGAGCCTGTGAGGGCCAGGGCTGTGGCTCAAGCCTGCTCTGCAGACTCCTGGTCTAACCCCCGGTTCTCCTTGCTCCTTCCCCTGGCACCCTCGTGGGACACAGAAGCAGGGCTCCTGGCCACCCCTCTGCCATCAAGGGCAGAATGCTGAGAGACAGCAGTCCCCAGAGACTTGAAGGACCACAGAAAAATCCCACAGCCAGGTTCCGTTCAGTCGGGGACTCTCCCCACCCAGCTCCCTGCCACACACACCACACAGAGCTTTGGAACCGCTGATGGTTGCTCTCCATCCTTCTCAGGAAGCACTTCCAGCCCCTCAAGAGAAGTGAGCATGTGGAGGTGAGATGAACGGAGAGAGTCAGGACGAAGGGGAGAAACAGCAGAGAGGATGCAGAAGAAGGAGGGAGGAGGGGTTAGGAGAGAGAGAAGCAGAAAGGCAAAGGAAGGGGAGAAGAAGGAAAAGCAGAAGGCTGGTCATCTGGAGGGTCCCCGACCACGGAAGGCTCCCTGCACTCAACTTCCGAACAAAACCTGAGGGGTTCTCAGGAAAATCTCCACTGCTTTCAAGTCCAGCTTTCTGGGGTGTCCCAGAACCTTCCTGAACCCCTGCTTATACTCTAGCCCAAAAGTTCCTTAGCACAGGCTCTCATCAGTTGTTTCTGGGGTGACATTCCAGCCCATTCCCCAGCATCAGATGTTCCCCTTTTAATCGTTCAAACACCAATAGCAGAAACATGCTCTCATAGATAAAATCTCCCTGTGCCCCAGCAGAGAGACCCCAGCACTGCCCCATGGGCTCGAGTGCAGAAGTCCACCCTCTAGCCCAGCCAGGTCCAGGGTCCCTGGAGCAGGGTCTTGCCCTGGGAGTTGGAATGGGGACCCTGCAGCCTCCAAGATCCCAGCTAGGGGTTACTGACTCCTAGGCAAGGAGCAGGAAGAGGACTGTTTCAGCAGGTGGAAGTGATTCAAAAGGAAAAATAAAGAGAGAAATGTAGCAGTAATGACTCCCTGGACTGCAGTTACAATGGGAAGTGAGGGGGAAAGAGGAGGAGGGACGGAAGTGCAGGGAGGGGGAAGAGGAGGCAAAGGTCAGACCCTGGGGCTGCTCACTGGCCACTAGGTCAGTGTGTCCATGTGTAGAACCCGGGACGGAAAGAGGCAGGATTGAAGGGAAATCATTCCAGCATCGTCTGGCTTCCCCGCGGTCACAGCACCAGCGGGTCTGACCTTAAGCAAGAGGCCCGGCAAGCGGGCAGGCAGGCAGACACTTACACACAGATGTCTTCTGGCTGTTATGTTTGCTGGGCATCAGCTTCACACCTCGAGACTTCAACTCAATTTGCTTCTTGACTAGAGAGGAGGTAAGAGGGAAAACCGTTTCAGTTGTTATCTGTGACTGGGGATGGGGTTCTTCTAGAATGATCCCCTCTCTTGGCTTGGGATAGTCCAGAGTGGGTCAAAGCCAGAAGTCCCTCTGGGTGAGGATATACCAAAGGTGGCACTGGAGTGCAGCAATGCCCCTGAATTGTCACCCTCCCTGTATCCACACACTTTGCAATGTGATTTTATAGTTCTTCCCATTAAAAAGGTGGGGTATATTCCCTCACCCCTTGACTTTGCGTTTGGCCACTGGAATTTTGGAGGAGGTCCTGATGTGTCCGAAGACTTGCAGAGTGCCTGCCAGATTAGGCTTGTCCTCTCACATCCCCGTCATTGCTGGGAGAGGGCATGGCTGATCCCAGGTGGATGAGGAACATGTGGAGCAGAGCCAGTCGGCCTTGCTGAGCCCAGCCTATGCTGGCCAGCCTACTGTGGGCAGGGGAAGCTGAGTCCCAGAGGTCCCTGGGGGATAGTGCCTGGCTCAGGAGGTGGCCTGATGACTGAATTGGGTTCTGATCCAATGTCAGTCCAGTCCACAGCTCATCAGGAGTTTGCCAAGTAGCACAGAAAAGGCACCAGAGTGAGGACGCCACAGTTCCAAAAGCCATTCCTCTGAAGCCATCCACCTCCTTTGTGTCTGACTGCCCCAGGTCCCCAAGGCATTCTGCTGGCCTCTGAGGGCTTCATCCTGTCTCTGGGTCTACTGCTCGATGCATCTGTCCCAGACCCCCATGCCCTTTCCCAGCTGGCCCCTGCCGGGTGGCTCAGCCCCTCTCAGATGGGTACCCAGCAGTGGTAGTGGCGACTGTGACCAGGCCCTTCCTGTGTGCCAGGCCCTGGGCTAAATGCCTTTCAAGTTCTTTACTCATGTCAGCGTCCCTGACTCGTCTGTTTCCCCCACACCCAACACCCACACCTGATCCACCAGGATCCATCAAACCCTTCCAAGTATATCCCAAGTGCAGTTTCCACATCTGTCATAGTCCAGGTCTCTGGTGCTTCCCCCCTGGTTGCCATGACTTCCCATCTTCCCTACCCCATATAGCCTGTTTTCAACACAAGGGCCAGAGGGATCCTTTAAAAACATAAGTCAGACCATATTACATCTCTGCTCAAAACTCTTCAGTTTTAAGAGTAAAAGTAAAAAGTAAAAGCCAGTCTTTCGAGTGGCCTGCACAGACCCATCTGCCCTCCCAGCACCCCTCCGACCTTATCTTCAACCTTAATCACTCTTGTTCAGCCACACAGGCCAGTTCCCTGCAATGCTCTTCTCCAAGGGTATCTTCCTGACTCCCTCCTTCCCTGGAAGCATCTGTGAAAACACCGCTTCCTTGCAGACTCTTCCTCTGACCACTGTTCACAGCGACCCTGCACCCTGGCTCCCTGACTCCCTTCCCTACTTTACCTCCCTAACTTTCCAACACACAGGATCACTGACTGGGTGGTTTCCAGCCCCCCCCCACCCCCGGCATTGCAATGCAAGCTCCAGGAAGGCAGGATTTGTGTCTGTTTTCTTCACTGGTACCTCCTCCACGCCTAGAACAGAGCCTGGTACACGGTGGGCCCTCGATAATGCCTTCATTTGCTCCTTCCACATCCATCGACCTTAACCAGTACTTACTATACCTACTTGATAGATAATCACGTGGTGGCTCAGAGTGGTTTAAGTGATTTGCTATGGGTCACATAGCCAGGAGGCAGCTGTGCTCTTGGTTGAACCTAAGCATCTTCTCTTATGACCTGCCTCCAAAGCCATCCCAGGGGCACTGTTAACCTTCTCCAGAATTTTTCCTTTGCCCCGGCTCAGGCCCGAAAAACTCGGTACTTGTCCTGCACTTGAGGTAACATGCCTGTCCCGAAACTAGAGCCCACAGTGATCAGGCATGCAAGGGCCCATCTCCCAGTTCCCCAATAATCCCAGCTCTACCTACATCAAAAAGCTCCCCAAGGGTTTGTCCCCTGGCAAGCTGCTAAACCGAATGCCTGATCAAATTCAGTTACTACCATGTAGTCACTGCTGCCCAACGTGCATTCAAAGCCTCTTTATAAATGTGCATTACTCTCCATGTGTATCCAGCAGGAAAATTTCCAGTGAACACTAACGTGGACCCATTATCAAACAGAGGGTATTGGTAGGGAAACATGCATTATTCAAGCCTAGCTAATACAATACAGCAGGGGGGAAATTTCTCGGATTCAGTCATCCCTAAGAGAACAGGGCTGGCCCCAGTACTGTGGGAATAGCTCAAGCTCTTCTCCCTGATGCCCCGGCCCTGGGGCTGGGGTGGGGAGAGGGATCTCCATGAGCAAGGCTGGCCCACTCAAGGGGAGGTCTGTGCGGATGACTCCGGGTACCTGGCCGAGAAGGAGGAGGTAAGAGTCTTCCCAATCGCCTCGTTTCCCGTCCTAGTGTTCTCTGGAGGAAGGGAGGTGAGGAGGGGCCCGTGCACCAGGAACGTCATTTCCAGGGGCAAATGCTGCTTTGGTTTTCCCTGCAGCTGCTGAAGGGGGGCGGGGAGAGGCAGGTGGGTATGAGGGGATGGCTAAGAGGGAGTCCTTCTTCCTCTCTTCTCAAGGTTGCACTCAGGAAGAGGCTCCAGAAGGAATCCTTCCAATTTCTGTGCCCATCCGCTCTACTCGGTCCTCCCCAAGAAGGGCTGTGTGACCCACCAGGTCAGTGCTTTATACCTCCTGGGCCACTGTTAGCAGTGGCTGATGTCATCATCCTCCCCGACAGGAATGAACTCCTGTCCTTCTTTTCCTTCCTGCTACTTACCACAGGATGGAACTTGCTAAAGCAGTAAGAAGTGAATGAGAAGGAACCTGAGAAGCCTTAGGGCTTCTTAATTTACATATAAACCTTGTGACTGTTTGCTCCTCTGAACTGGTCCCAGAGGTGCATGGCCCATGCTGTCTGTGTGCACCCCACACAAACATGGGGAAGGCAGGGGCCCTGCTCTCCAGACTGTGGTTCCTTACACCAACAATGCAATCTCTAGAAGATGTATGTTCAGGCCGAGCTGGCCCAGGCCCAGGCTCTGGGGAGGGGAGCCCATACAGAGGACCCATACCACCGTGGGAGCTGATGAATGGGTCAGGAAAGTGGCCTTGGCTGGGGGTAAGCCCTTGGCAAGATCCACATTACCGGGGATTTGAACATCAAGAAATCACCTCCATATGCTGAGGCTTCAGTTTTTGAGTAACCCCAGGGAAGTTGTCACACCCTGAATTATATACAACTAATTTGTCTTTTAAACAGTTTGACCAAGTGGGTGGTGAGTGATCAAGGAAAAAGGAACACCATGGGAAATCAGCCACAAAATGAGCTTAGTCAGAGCTAGCTCGACAGACAAGGGCAGGCCAGGTAAAAATCTTCAGGAAACAAGAGCCCTTCTCCCTTTAGATCTCCACAGTGTGCTACTGACAGATGCAATCAGAAATGCAGGATAAAGTAGCAAGAACCTAGAGAATTTCTGGCATGTATCCGTTCATGTTGTTCATTCGGTCGTCGTTCGTTCATTCATTCATTCATTCATTCATTCATTCATTCATTCATGGAGCCCCCACTAGTGTAGTGCCAATGATATTACACTGAAGCTCTGGTCTCTAAAATGGATTTTGTAATCGTTGATGCGCTGCAGATAAAATGGAGCCTGGGGCTGGTTCCACGGTTCTGGCTACACTTGAATGCATACCCCTGATGCACATATGTATGTGCCTGTGCATGGATCCATGCACACATATGCATCTGTGTCTACAGCGGGCACACCCACAACACATTTGTGCCCTTGGGTACGCATGGCTCCAAACACTCACATACAAAATATAATTCACACTTGCACATGCTTTTGCACTGTGAACAAAGTCAAGACTCCCAGAAAAAAGTGCTGGCTTGAACTGGTTGATGGAAATCTTACTAGGTACATTCATCTCCTCCGAATGATAATGACTACAGGAGACTGCCAGGCTGCTCCATTCATCCTTTATATTCTGGTTAATTACAAAACATTTCCCTGCTGTTGTAAAGGTTAGCGGGACACATGGTACACATTTAGCTAGAAGAATCTGGCAATACAAATTCCTCTCTAGTCTGCAGCATGAGTTATTGGGCTGAGCTAGCAGGAGACAAGGACCTGTTAGTGGAGGAGGGGAGCTGCTAAACCTGTCTCCAAGGCTCTGGGAATCACGAAGTGGAGGGAACCTGTAGCTTCTTCTCTTCCCAATGGAGTCAGACTTCCCTTCACAAGGGTGAGCCCTGGCACTAACCCTGATCACTCCCCTTTCCCCGCCACTTGGCTGTCCTACTGGCTGGACCATCCCTTTATCTCCCCACACCTGTTCCTTCACCAAACCCAGTTCACTCAACCCTAGAAAAAGTTTCCAATGTATATCTTCCTTTCAGGATTCTAAGCCACTCCTGCCCTAAACTCTTTTTTGCTTGGATTTTACTCACCGACTCACTCTCTATAACTCACCCCCCAAGATGTTGCAGAGGATGCTTTTAAAAAATGGAATCTGATTTTTCCCTTAGAAAACTTGGTGGGTGCGCACCCTGCACTCTGCCCCTCCCTTGTCACTGACGGCATGCCTCTTGCTTGGCCACCAGCCCTGCACAAATGCTTTCATTACTCACAGTTCTTTGCTAGACAAAGTCAGTGTCTAGCACACTGGCTCCTCATCTCACTCAGATTTATGCCAAAGATGGAAAATTTGCAGCAGATGCCCAAGATCTAATGCTTCAAGGTACAAACCTTCTAGCAGAGGCTGAAGCCCTTACTATGGAGAAGGACAGTGGGAAGAGCGGTGGTATGGAACAGAGCTGGGGAAGCCTCGATGTAATGAAAGGTGAGATGTCTGTTGCCAGGTCAGTGGACCTGAGGGATAAATATAAAACGACTGCGCCACCGTTGACCAGGTGTTGCCAACACACAAATAAAGAGGCTGGGGTGGCACCATCATTGCCACTGCGCTGGCACACTCCATGGCCACGGAACTCTCGAGAAGATGAGCAAAGGTGTTAATCCAGTGGAAATCAGGAAAGGTGTGATGTTGCTTGTTGATGCTGTAATTGCTGAACTTAGGAAGAGCCTAAAACTGTGATAACTTCTGAAGATATTGCTCAGTTTGCTCTAGTTTCTGCAGATGGAGACAGACAAATCGGCAGTATCACTTCTGATGTAATCACAAAAGCTCAAAGAGTATCCTCGCAATACAGGGCAGGAAAACACTGAAGGACTGAAGCAGGAATCGAAGGCACAGAATGTGCCTAAGATTGCATATCTCCCTACTTGCATAATACATCAAAACTTCAGAAGTGGAAATTCTAGGGTATTTAGGGTTTCCAGTGTCCGGTCCATGGTACCCACTCTTAAAACTGCCAACACCCAGTGAAAGTCTTGGGTTATGACTGCTGAAGATGCCCTCAGAGCACTCACTTGGAATAGGATAAAAGTCAGCTTGCAGGTTACAGCCACCCAAGTTCCAGGTTCTAGTGTCACGGAAAGAACCAACAAAGCTGTTGCTATTGATGCTGTGGTGTTTGGAAAAGAGAGCTGGGCTCTGAATTTTCAAGATCGTTTGCTTCATGATTTAGGAAAAGTTGGACAGGTTATTGTGACCGAAGATGATGCCACATTCTTGCAAGGGAAAAATGACAAGATTCAAAAAGAGAAATATTCAAGGAATCACTACTAATGACCGTGGAAAAGAAAAGCCCCAGGGACATCTGGGGACACTTCAGATGGCAGAGCTGTGCTGAAGGTCGCCAGGACAAGTGACGTGGAAGAGAATGAAAAGAAGGAGTCACAGGTACAGTGAAAGCTCCAAGACCCGCTGCTGGAAAAGGCACTGTCTGGGTGCTTTGCTTTGGGGCATTCCTGCCTTGAATTCACAGCTCCAGCTAATGAAGAGCAAAAAACTGGTACAGCAACAATGGAAAGAACACTCAAAATTCCAGCAATGACCACTGCCAAGAATGCAGGTGTGGAAGGATTGTTGATAGTTTAGAATATGATGCACAGCTCCTTAGAAGCTGGTTATGTACTATGCTGGGTGGTTTTTTGAATATGGTGGGAAAAGGAATCATCAGCCCAGCTATGGGCTGTAAGATGTACAAAGCAACTGAAGTCTGTAAGAAGAACTTTGTTGGATGCTGCTGGTGTGGCCAGTGGGTTAACCACAGCAAAACTCGTAGCCACTAGGATCCCTGAAGAAGACAAGGACCTGGGCAGGGTAGATGGCAGGCAGTGCGGGGAGTGGCATGTTCTAATTTCTAGAACAGTGCTTTGCCATTGTTAATAGGCTGTGTGGTGGTCTTCACAAACCACTTCTGACAAGTCAGAAAACAACTGGAAGAAAGATATTTAAGGGAATCCCTATGGCTATCGTTGTTGGTTTCATGGCTTGGGCAATGCTGTTTGCTCTACCTGGCACGCCTTTTCCCCTCTTCTCTGCTTGGCTACCTCTCACTGGTGAAGGCCTGACTCAAAGGCTATCTCCTCTCTCTGGCTGTGCCTACATCTCGGGGAGAAGTCACTGCCCTTACAAGACTTGATTCAGGCATCTGCTGAAGCCCTTTTGACACTGTGACATCATGTCCTGT